CTAGGTAACGAAACGTTTGCAAGAAAACAACCAAGCTCAGAGAACCCCAAGGACTCCACAACATACTTCTACATGACTTCAATACAGAGTTGGAAAATATGGTTATCAAATTTGCAGGCAACAAAAAGATAGGAGGAGTAGGAAACACCTTAAAGGACAGCATCAAGCTTCAGAAGGATCTTGATAAAGTAGAACAGTGGGCAGAAACCACTAGATAGACAAATTTCAGCAATAGATGCAAGTGAGAAAGCAAAAATCCGAGTAAAAGGAGAAACCATACTAGGCACCAATACTTGTGACAAACATCTGGACCTCTTGGTGGATTACAACCTGAATATACACCAAAAGTGTGATGCTGCTGCAGAATAACAACAACAACAACTTGGAACAGCTTACATCCTGCAACGATACCTTTAACACCATCAAACAACATCTGCCTATCCCAGGTCCTTTGGAAGGATGTGATAGATGGATAAAAATGCCAAATCCAGTCTAAACACCTGGCTGACTGTGCAACCAACAATAATAATTATCTACATCAACAGAAGCATAGTTCAAAATTATTATTCCTCTCTGTTCTACATTATGTTGGGCAGACCACACCTAGAATATTGCATCCAGGTTTTGACACTGCATTTTAGCAAGTCTCCAGATGTTAACAATCAAGATAATAAGGGCCTGGAAGGAAAAACTTACGAGGAATGGTTAGAGGTGTTGGGTATATTTAGCCTGGAGAAAGTTGCAGGGAGACATGGTAGCTATCTCAAAGTAGCTGTAGTACTGCCACGTGGACAGTTCCTGAAGATCAAAGAAACAATGGATTTAAATGAGAAAGAAGCAGATTTTGGTTGACATCAGGAAAAACTTCCTAATGGGAAAAGCTGTTTAACAATAGAACAGATTGCCTCAAGAGAGGGCGATCTCACCTTCACTCCAGTGTTTAAGCAAAGGCCAAATGGGCATCTGTTGGGGATGCTACGATAATGCATTCCTGCACTTCACAGGGGGTTGGATTAAATCAGTGTTTCTCAACCTTGGCACCTTTCAGATGGGTGGACTTCAACTCCCCCCATTTCCCCGCCCACCCTTGCTGGGTGGGGGGTTTGTGGGGTTGTAGTCAACCCAATCTAAACACACCAGGGGTGGGACAACAGGGG